TACTATATATATATATATATATATATATACATACATAGTTACCTACATTAATCAATATGCTCAATCACATATATCTCTTCTTCTTGTTACATTCTAGTTACGATCGCTACTATATATATATATATATATATTTTCTTTAGAATAAAATAATCATGACAAGTGAGCAGCAATCTGTCTTTTGTAACCAAATACATTCTACTACATCATTTCGTAAGAGTAACATAGATGAAACCCTAATTCAACGACGAAATGCTAATTACAAGCCAAACATTTGGAAGTATGATATCCTCCAGTCACTTAAAAGCCAATATTCAGTAAGTTTAATTTGTCTCTCTCATACCTCAAAATAAAATATATTATTATGAAATTATGTTTTAGGCCTAATTCATATCCCAAAAACTAACTCAAAGAGGGGAAGATTGTCCAAGTCTTATAAGAAGTCCAACCATCTCATTAACTATTTTGATCATATTTAATGATTTGGATCATTCATATTTTTTAATTGGTTAAATATGAGCTTCAAACTATTTTAACAGTCTCTACAAATATGGTCAAAGTGGGTTAAATAAGGATATCCATATTTGATCCATAATAGATCATTTATTTTACTTTCACTCAAGATTCATAATTGTGCTAAAAAAAAAAAAATTAATATTATTTTTTCATAAACAATTTCTTTTTTTGCATAAACAATTTTTTTTGTTTTTGTAAGAAAAAATTAGGGGTAGGTTGGTGGAAGGTGAGGGTGGGTGGCTGACGGAGGGAGGGGTATAATTCTTTTTTTTTTGCAAAACATTTTCTTTTTCTTTTTGTAAAAATAAATAAATTTGGGGGTAGATTGATGGAAGGTAGGGTGGGGGGGGGGGGGTTAAATATTTATTATTTATTGCAAAAAACATTTTTTTTGTTTTTTTTAAAATAAAAAAAATTTAGGGGTAGGTTGGTGGAATGTGGAGGAGGAGTCCGAGGGGTGGGTAAGGGGTATTTTTTTTTAAAAAAGAAAATTAGGGACATGTTGGTGGAACGTGGTGGGGGGATTTTTTTTTTTTTGTAAAAACAATTTTTTTTTTAAAACAAAAAATTTAGGATAGGTTGGTGGACGGTGGGGGTGGGGGCGGGGGCGGAGATATGGGTAAATTTTTTTTTCAAAGATACTTTTTTTTAAAAAAAATTAATAATAAAAAATTAAGGTGTAGGTTGGTCGAGAGGGGTGCCCAGGGGAGGGGGTAATTTCTTTTTTTGAAAAATAAATTTTTTAAAATGGGTTGAAACCATTTTACTGAAATCATATTTGGCCAAATCCATATTTGCCCATATTCTATTTGGATGGATTGTAATCCAAATCATTTTTGCTCAATCCATTCAAATTCGATCCGATCCAATCATTTGCTACCCCGATTTCTATGTTAGATTGTTGTCTTTGAATTTAAAATTTCTATATAGCAGATAATTGTTAAAGAATGACAAAAGTATCGGTGGTTAATGAGATGATGGACTACTTATAAGGCTTGGGCAGTCCTCCTCCTCCCTTTAAGCTAGTTTTTGGGGTGTGAGTTAGGTGTAAGACCTAATTTAACATAATATTAGAGTTTTATATCAAAATTAAATCATTCAGACTTATTAAAATTATATTAATGTAATTATTATATATTGGTCATAAATTATTTTATGTGAGTATATATTAATTATTAAGCACGTCAATATATATTTGTTTTCTTTATAAATATGACTAATGAGCAGAAATTATCTGTCTTTTGTAACCAAATAAATTCTGAATCAATTGGTGAGCCACAAGTAACTTAATTTGTTTTTATGGACAGAACTAATCTACTTTATCTTATTATTATCCAATAGTAATAGGAATAATTAAGGAGAGTTATTATCTTTTATATGCAGGAATGTAAGTACAAAAAAGAGGCCCAAAAGTTGAAAGAGGAATTTTTGTGGGTTGTGGCAGAAATAGAGAATCCATTGGCCAAATTAGAGCTTATAGATAGCATTAACAAAATGGCTCTCTCTCATCTCTTTGACAAGGAAATCATGGTGTTTCTACAAAACATGGAAAAGCTCAAGGATTCTGATAATGAAATGGATCTCTATTCAACTGCTTTATATTTTAGGATTTTTAGGCAGTATGGCTATAATGTGACACAAGGTACGTACGTACGTACACAAATATCTATATTCAAAATTAATTCTATATAGCTCAAATTATATGTCCAATCAAAGGAAACTTATATTTGTAACAACACAGATGTATTCCTTAGCTATATGGATGAAATGGGTGAAAAAATCAATGTAGACACAAACATGGATCCAAAAACAATGATGCAACTATTTGAAGCTTCTCACTTGGCCTTGAAGGATGAAAATATGTTGGATGAGGCTAGAATATTTTGCACTAACAATTTGAAAAATATTATTCCAATGGAAATGCCACTGCATTGGAAGGTGGAATGGTACAACACTAGAGAGCATATCTCCAAACAGGCAAACGAAAAAGAAGAAGGAGTGTCAAAATTGAAGCTTCTTCAACTAGCTAAACTCAACTTCAATATGGTTCAAGCTGAGCATCAGAAAGATCTTGTCCATATTTTGAGGTAGAGTTTAAGTTTTATGCGTCGATAATCATTAATTGATCATCTATCTTTATAAAGAATAGTAGCAATAGTTAACCTGCTATCATGCACATGTTCTTGAACCCGTGTTTTCATATGATCACATGGAAGCAGCTTTTATCACTTCCCTACTCCAAAACTTCCCTTCAATAAATATAAATTGCATCCAACTGTGTTTAAATTAAATTCTCGAGAAAAGTAATACACTCTGTTACTGTTGGGACATATTTTTTCAATAACACTCTTCTCGTTGTTCAATAATAATTGTTCACTAATGACTTGACACACGGATAATTTTACTATATCACCCTTTGAAAAATATAATATAAAAATGATTATAATTAATGAAAGGATAAATTAAGAAGTAAGTGTAAAATTATCCATGGATTTCATAAAATAGACAAGTATTATTGGACATTTATTTTTAGTATAGAGGACAAGTATTGTTGGACAGAAGGAAAAGAGTAAAACTAGACCTTCTGTAGAAAAAATAATAATTTATTAATTTGTTTATATAAAAGGAAGATATTCTTCAATTTTATTTTCTTCACATACAATTATCGTGGTGTTTGAAGAAATTAATATATAAAGAGGAAATAGGAAGACAGAAAAATTGACTTAGAGCCTATTTGGCTCAGCTTAAAAGATGGTCAAACTGACTTAAAAGTTGGTTTTTGACTTATTTAACTGTTTGGCAATACTCAAAATAGCCTATTTTAAGTTAAAAAAAACTTATTTTAAGCCAAAAGTTAAAAGCTGGGTAGGGGTGCTTTTTTTTTTTTAGCTTATAAGCTGTTTTAAGTTGACCACATTTTTATGTTTTTTCCCTTAATATTTTTATACAATTTCCAAATTACCCATATAACCCTAACATCTCTTTCTTCTATTTTTCCCTTTTCACGTTTGACATAACAACTTCGGCACTTTTATCCAAACGCATAACTGCTTATTTTAAAAATAAGTTTCAGCATTTTCAAAAGTACTTTATTAAAGCTGCTTTTATTAAGCCCATCCAAACGGGCCCTTAGAGCCTGTTTGGCTAGCTTAAAAGCTGGTCAAACTGACTTAAAAGCTGATTTTTTGACTTATTT